CCACTTACAAAAGCAGCCTTCCGATATCAGCATCATAAATATATATTTTTGTCGTTTTGCCTCATTTAAAATTCTTGTCACACCATGCTGGGCACGTACCCTTCATTACTAGGTCACTTCTTACCTTCATGTCTATAACTGGAGACTAATAATGCCATAATAGGCTCACAATGTCAGTGAGGTGCGAGTTGAATCAGATTCACGGTATTAGCCTCAGCAAATTAAATCTTCATGTGCAGAAAGACATTCAAGAGAATAAACTACAGGTGTAGAATAAAGCTAAATTATCCCCCCTCCCAAAAGCGTGACAAAGGAAGCTGCATCTCATCAGAAGTACATGAAGAATTCTTTGTACAAAATGAGGCTTGTGACTGCTGTGAACTTAGCTATGCAAGAGTCTAGAGAGTTTAATTTTGAAGTTCTACATGAAAGAACAGTTTAATGTTCAAGTTCTACGCAGAAAGAAAGGAAGAAAGAAAAAAGAAAGAAAAGCATTAGCACTAGCTATATGAAATTGATAATGAAAATTTTAGACTCTGCATTTCACATTGACTCCATGGCACATATTACTTTTGTTTATTAGGATACAACACTAAAATTCCAGAACTTTGTGTCCATGCTAACAATGAACACAAGAATATTCCTCCAAGCCCTATCAAAAGACGTAAATTAAACTTGTTTGTTCTTGACACTAATTAAACAGGATAACATTGTATCATCTCAGTTAAGAAGTTACAAGTTGAATAGACTCTCCCAAAGCAAAACAGAAGGACCTGTTCCTGGAGCTCAAAGGTGACAGTTTTCATGGGCAGTTCTCTTCATGCTAGTTTTCTCAATCTGTACTGCCATCATACTATTCTAATTTACCAAGTTTTAATAAAAGCCTAATATTTGTTCCAGCTAACACGGACAGTTTAGATATCCTAGGTTTCTAGTTCAATTTAATGAAAAGTTTGTAAAACAGTTATCTCAACAATTAATTTATTTACGCTTATCACCCTTTCTTTAACCTTATTACCCTTTATTTGTATGTTTCGGAATCTCTGACAGTTATTGACTAAAGTGTAGCCATTTTGTGTTCATTTTCATGTTTTTCTAAGGATTCTCTCAGCTACTCTATCAGCACAACAACAGCATACATGCAGGTATCCCATCCACAAGAATTATGGTATTATAGACTGCTTAATCTAGGTTATTTAGAGTCCATTTTTAAACTGCAAGCACAGCACGAAACAACTACAATATAGGTGAAAACACAGTGGAACTTTGATTTTTGTCTTTTATACTACCACACTATAATGAAGGAAAACATCTTAATTCATTGCAAGAAATTTTTTTTGCCTCTCAGAAGTCCACAGAAAAAAAAAATATTGGTTTGTTTCTACCATTGCAACAAATAATAATTCATTTTCTCAGGGTTTATGCAAGCATCAAGTGATAGAGACTGTGTATAAAAGAGTTCTGTCTAAAGGCACATTAAATTATAACTAAAAAGCCGTGCTAAGTTCCTCTGCATTTAAAACACAGAGGATTTACTTTTTCCGTAACAAATTATTTTCTATCAAATAAATTTGATCAGTATTTTTATGCTTCCAAGCAAGCAAGACTAGAAAATTTTACAAGAAATTTCATATTACATTCCCACTTGGGAAATAAGCACATTGCACACAGCTTCTATTCACTAATTAGGCATTGCAAGGTGCACGGGACTGCAAAGTAAAGAATAAAAATATACCTAAACTTCAAGGAGCTATCTTTCTGTGGCTCAAATTGGCACAGAAATTACTTACAAAAAGCTTTGTAAATTCATAATTATCAGTCATGTCATAATATTAAGTAAAATATTAAATCCTTTCATGCAAATCACAAAGACTGCAGACACTATTTGTCATAAATACAAACTAACCATCAAACATGTAAAATTTATTTAACTATTCAATATATATATCAGACAGTGATTTTTTAACAGACAAGGCCAAAAAAATGTGTGAACGGACAACTAAATTAGTTTTTGAACGAAGGGAATTATTCAAAAGTGGAACTAGAAATCTTTTAAAGTGCTTGAATCTGCAGTAAGCCAAAAAGACCACACAATTCAATATCAAGACCCTGTAGCTGCTCTGCCAGTAAAAATGTTGAACAATTGAAGCAATTTTTTTCCAACATGAAACATGAATTTTACCAGTGATGCAACTATTTTTATACAGGGCTCAATACTGCTAAATCAAAGTCTAAATCAAACTCAGAAGAAATTGCACTGTTGATTACAGAGAAAAAGAATCTAAGATAAAATATTTATAAAATATTTTATAGGCCAGAAGGCAGTACAGCTCTAGAAACAGTGGTGTTATCTCAAAACGCACAGTATTAATGCTTACTTCGGTAAATTTTCATTAAAGCATTTCATTCCTGTACTATCCCAATAACATAAGACATTTCACACTCTTATAACCAGCAGCTTTCCTTTCACAGTAGCTTATACTTTAGATAAATGCACAGCCAGAGTGGCGGTGGCAAAACAGTAAAGATACATTCAGTGTTAAATTTGGTCTCAACACAGAAAACAAAACTTTTTCTCTTTTTTTTCTGTTTTCTCTTTTGCCAGAGAACAAAACCCAAATCCCTATCCTATTCTGTGAAGGGGGGCAGCACTGAGCTACTGAAATGGATGGCAGTTGTAATTTTTTTGTCTGTTTTATTTTTTTTTTTTCTGTTTGTTGTTTACCTGTTATTACTGCCCTCACAGCATTCTAAGAATGTCATGCTTAGATATAGGGAGCAGATTTTCAACAGATCAGCTCAGTTAGGCACAAAATCAAAATGGACAAATCTTCACTAGAGCTCAGCACAATCAGTGATAGCCTCTTTGGAAAATCTGTCCCCAATTATAGATGCCAAGTACTCAAAATCCTGTGTGCTTCCTTTAAAAATGATGTCATACACTCAAAAACAACACTGCAGCCACTGAAGGTTTTGGGGACTTCCGGGGATGCTGTTTCTACCCGGGATGGAGCTAAGCAAGAGGCAATCTTTAACAGAATAAGCCTACTTTAAATGACAAAGTTCACTACTGCTGTGTTTACTGACACTGTCCGTTGGACAGATTTGGCTTTAGACCGTTTTATTTGCATATTATTGTTTCTGGGCCAGTACTGAGCACCTTTTCCTTTTGCTAGTCCCTCACTGATGTCAGCCTAGCATGTTGCTAGTCAATGAGCTGAACAGTGAGAGAACAGTGAGCTGGCTTGAAAGAAAATGCAGCATTTCCTCACACCTTTCTCCTTTTGTAATCAAACCAGGTTGAATCAACGTAAAGGAGTTGAGCTTACAAGACACTGGCAATAGGTACAACAATAGAATACTCATTCAACCGATAATTTATACAATGTCTTGCCAAAGAACACAGCCATTTGCAATTTAAGTGCACTAGGCTGGTATCACTTATCTTTAATGCACACTCCAGGATTCACTTCCTAAAATAAATTGTTATGCAAAATGAGATTGAGTTGTACATGTTGAAGCTTTTACACTTTTGAAATTTCACATCAAATATGGAATACCAAGGCTCAAGTTCTGCCTTCAGCAAAACTCTTAGTCTCAAAGACATCAATAAAAGTTGCTTCATTACTGCAGTTGCCTTCATTGTTTCTTTGTTTCAGACTGAGGATACTTGAACTTATAGCGATGGCTTATAGTTGCATTCAAATGAAAAACTGAAATGACAGTTTTGTCTAATTCACAGTTACTAAACTGGAAAGTTATATTTCCATTAGTTCTCTGAACTACTCTACAGAAAAAGCAGAAACATCAGATGTCTTTGCATAACATTATAAAAAGTCTACAAGCATTGGTTGAAGAAACTCTGGCCTTTAAAAGATGTGCGTGAAAACCGATGTATAGATGTTTGAATTTTTACTGCTATCCCTTGCCCCCCAAATTTAAACATGTTATTTTCTTAAGAAATCCTCTCTTTACTCCGCTTTAAATATAGGCTTTTAAAGAAGAGATGTTAATTCTAGCTTATTTAAACAAAGGTGATCCTTATGAGACAACAAAAACATCAGGGACTTAATGTAAAATCTTTCTAACACCCTAGCGTATAATTAACTTATTCATTAGCAAGTAACTTCAAGTGGGTGTAATTTAACATTTCCTTCCTGCCCCTTGAGCAAACAAAACACAGAATAATTAATCAATTTGATCCCAAGCCCCTAAATTCCACTGTCTGGGCAAAATCTCCAACAGAAACTCATATGGGAGAGCTCCACCCCAGCCCTCCCTCAAGATTCAAGGTACTTACTTGACTTACAGGTTGACCACTTACAGGGGAAGACTTACTCATGTTCTGTGAGATAGGCTGTTCATTCAAGAGGTGCACTGCAGGCGGGCACACCTGCCCTGCTTCTAGCCTCAGACTTTCCCTTGCTAGCATAGCAGTAACCGACCTCAGCTTTGTACAGCTAGGTGGGGAGCTGCTCGTGGATAAAAACAAAGCCTTCATGTTCTATAGAACCTCTCACCTGAAACAACACTTAGTTACTTAGTAAAGGAGCAAACATGTTTATATTTTAATTATAACAATGATAAAGCACCTGCCACTGAAATACCTTTGCTCTATGCTGCCCAGCACAGTTAATTGCACAGATGACACTGGAGAAAGAGAACCAACAGAGCTTAAGGAAGAGAAACCTGCCCCTCTGACAGGCAGGACACCCCATGAACCCCATCAGCTGCAGCCCTCACCTTCCTGGCTCCTCCCCTCCTCACACCTCCCAGTCCTGTCAGCTGCCTCTCCTTCAGCTGCCACTGCTCCCATAGTTGTTGAGGCTTTAGTTCTCCCTTCCTTTTTCCCTCCTTTTACAAGACAAGCTTGAAAAAAAACGGTAGAAACGAGAGAAGGCAGCTTTGGGTTACTGCCTACGACCTCAAGCCTTCTGATGTACCAATGACCACAGCCCTCACACGAAGCTGTAATGGCGGCCGCCCTCCACCAGGTGAGGCGATGAGGGAGCAGTTTTCCCGCCACCCGCGCCCTGATTGGCTGCTGGGCGGCAGAGGCGCCCGCACGAGGGAAAGGCGCCCGCGGCAGCGAGGGCAGCGCTGAAGGGGCTGTGAGGCTGAGGGGAGCACAAAATGGCGGAGGGGAGGAGGCATGCGGAGGGTGCCCTGTTCCTGAGGGGCAAGTGAGTTTGTGGCTGCTGGATTTCGGTTGTTATCCCTACGTGTTTTGTTCTCGGTAAAGTCACTTTGGCCTAGTTGGGTGTTGTAAAGTCAACTGGAGAATTGATGGGTATGTTCTGGTGGTAAAAGCGAGGTGGAGTAGGCCCTGGCCCCTTTCCTCAACAAGAAGGCAAGGCTAGGGGTTAGATAAACAGCTGCTGTGCATATATGTGCCCTTTGCCTCACTTTTGTGAAGAGTTGTGTATCACCTGTGCTCTCCAGATAAGGTATAAACCACATGTTGCTCTTCACTACGTTATATTTGTTTGCAGGTGTTTAATGTTAGTTTCTGAAGTAAAATATCAGTGCCCTCTGGAGGATTAGTCTTGTTTTACCTTATATATCTTTCCAATGTTATGTAGCAAGCCTGTTAGTATCCTAGTCGGTTTTTAAATCAGGAAAAAAAGCATATTAGCCTTGGTGTTTTAACTGATGATGATGAGTAAATCTTGCCATCTTTATTGCAGGCCAACTGCTTGCCTGGCGTACTAACTGCTACCCTGCTCTTCCCATTTCTCAAAGTTGCAAGTGTCTGAGGTGTGGAGTAAGTGGGTTGAGGGTAAGCCTGGCAGAACTTGACTGCATTAAGTGAGTAATCCTCTCTGGGATACAGAAGCTCATGTTACCTGATTGAACTTCTGGAATTTTTATGTGGAGCCTCCTGGCATCACTTTGTAACAGAGATGGCTTTCTTACTGCAGACTCATGTTAATGCTTTCCTGAATAATTGGGGTGCAATAAAAGTGTAGGGAAATAGAACTTAAGATGGGCTGAAGAAGGAAGATTCAACAGAAGAGTATTTTAACTTCTGATTTATCACTAAATAGAACCTTTTTTGTTTGTTTGGATGTAGGTATTTTGGGGGGAGGGAGTGTTGTGGTTGACCTCACTGTAGGCCTATTTCCACTCAGTGGAAGAGGCTTCCCTTGAATACTCAAGTGTTCTATTTTTCAGAAAGAACAGTTTCATGTAAGGCTCATACTACCTGCTTCTTTAAAGATTTATGGAGTCTTACTGATGATGACTCCAGTACTGCAGTTTTTTTCTCTGAACTGTAAGCATATTAATTAGCTTTATCAGTTGCATTGACTTATTTCTGTCATTCAGATGTTGATTTTTATGCTCATAATTACATTAGCAACTCATTTAAATCTGTTTTATGTACCCAAAAGTCTGGGATGGGTAACTTGATAATTATGTTGGCTTTTTGCATTAACGTGTGATCTATAATGTTTTGGAGCCATCCCATACTGTTATTTAATTAGGTTGCCTGGCCTGTGTATTAAAAATCTTTCTGCATCTTGGAAAGTAATTTAATTTTCTGAATACCAGAAAGATAATCTTATTCTATAATAAATTTGACGGGATTTCTAATACTCTTTGTCCATGCCACAGCCATTCTGCGATCGTAGTTAAAATTTCAGCAAAACTAAGAATTTTGGAAGAGCTGTTTTCAACAGCGGACTTTGTTTAACTGTATGTCTTAAACAGTTGTAATGTTATGCAGTACAAATGCATTTAATGAAAACAGCATTTACTGAAGTGTATATCTCTAGTAATATTAAATCCATAAACACCTTCACAGAAATCAAAAGAAAGATGCAGTTTTGCTTGTCATCAGTGATTGGCACCTTGTAATGAGTTGGAAAAGTAATTAAAAAGTAAATCATCTAATCAGTAGAAATGTTTTTATTAGATGCCCATTTGGGATATTATTATACTTCCCATTTCTCTCAGAACTCTTACTTCTGATTAGCAACAAGTGTTAATAAATTTGATTGCAATTTTCATGAGACCTCAGGACACCTCCCTTTGTATTGCTAAACTGTAAAATTATTGAACTTCTTGTTCCTGCAGCCCACACCCCCTATACATCTTAGTTGCTCTATTTCTGAGAATTTGTATGGTCAAATATTCAGAAGTGTTTTTTTCTGGTAAGTATAAAGGAAAGAGAATTGTATTAAGTGTTTGAACGCCTGTGAGTAGCTGTGAGAAACTAAAGGTTTGTGGAAATTATTTTCTTCTTAGTAGCCAGGCTTTAAATCTGGTTTCTTTTTCACACTTCTTAGCATCTGACATGGTTATCTCTATTGAATAATGAGCTGTCTTTTTGCGAATTAATTCTAGGTGATAGATTTATCTTTACAGTGTTTATGTTGATAGAGCATTTTCAGTACTTGCTTTTGAAATCGCTTATGCAATATTACTATTTGCAGCTGTTTTTCAAGTACTGCTTGACCTTTTAATCACTGCATTGTCTCTTTGCTTTCTGCATTGATGCTGGACTGCCCAGCTCAGGACCTTGTCTGTTGCCTGCAGTTCAGTGCATCATCCACAGTTCTCCAGAACTGTTGAAATCGCATGATTCCTCTCACCTCAGTTACATGCTTGGCAGCAGTTCATTTATGGGTATAGCTGTTGTTTTTCCTCTCTACTGAATGTTCCAGCTCTTGCAATGTCAGTTCCTTCACCAGCCATCTGTCTTGCTGGCTCAGCTCCCTTTCTCAGGCTAGATTGAAGTCCTACTGAGTACAGCATCAGCTGTTAATTCTTTATTCAGAAGGTTTCAGAACTGCTGCTGCACACACACATCCTATATTTCAATCTTCTATTTCATGTGTATCATTTACAGTTGCTTTCTTCAGCCTCCAGCCTTCGTCCCAGTTCTTTTGCTTGTTGTCTACCACTTCATTTATTTTCCTGAAATTCTTATGTTAATTCTCTTCACCTTGACAGCCTAGCTTGTCTCTGAATTCAGTCTGGAAAGTGCATGTCAGAATGCAAGGACAGTCTAGTCTGCTTTTTGTTCATTGTTTTCCAGCAACTGTATTCTTTAAAAACCCGGAAAGAAGCATCTAAACACTTTCAGATATTATACAAGTCAAGTTATAGCTCCAGAAAACTTAAGATTGACGATGCCTTTATTGTCAAGAACTTAGAGAACAATTTCTCTGTAGTAGTATCTGTGTTAAAGGTAGGATAGATTGTATTGTAGCTCGGGGACTGGCATATTGCTAAACAATCTAGCAGACTTTTTTGTAATTTTTATTTGCTTGTAAGCCAGTCAAGCCTGGATACAAAATTGCTTTATGAAGCCCCAAGTGCATAGTACCCTTACTTATTATAGTAGCAGATCCTCTTTTTGTACACTACACTTGTTTCATAATCTGTCAATAGCTAAGGTTCATCTAGATTGTGTCTAAAGCATTATAAACCACTACTTGGTATCAATGCAATTGTCATAGGTAAAATGAACTGCACGGTAATTTCAATAAAGATGGAGGCTTATCAGATTTTTTAATGTATGTTAAGCCTTTCACGGATTCTCTGATATTTTCCTGGACAAATACAAATATTGTTTATTGCTAATGCCAATTAGTCAGCCAAGCATCCATAGCTGGCAGCTGTCCTCATGAAGAAGGCCCCAGAAGATTAAAACTCCTGGGATGCTGACTTGCAGATTAGATGTTAGTTTGTCATCTTCTAAGGATCTTCCTTACATGTTGTTTCTCTAATGGTAAGGAAAACTAAGTGTGCTTGCAAGACTAATAATTAGTAAACTTTGGTTTTGTATCTCCTCTGTACCTGTGATCCCCAGGATAAACGTAGGTCTGTCATGTACTACACCTCTGCTGAGGGACAGGTTGTACTAGGAAGACTTGCTTCCAAACTAAACCATTGCAGCTACAACAGTGTTACCTCTACCTGTATGACAACATGCAGGATATGTTTAATAGATTAGTCTTTTCTGGGCTGGGAAGCTGAAGCTGTAGCACTATATTGGTAATGGAACTCAGTTTAATTCCGGTGGTATAGAAAAGCTCTTAGGCTATGTAAAAGATGCATAGTATTGTATTTCTGGCACTGACTGGGTCTTTCTTGTACAGTATTATAGAAAGTAAAAAATAACCAAGTAAGACAGCAACATGGCAGGTAGTAAGGGTATATAATTAATTTCTTGTATGTCTTTCTGTCAGGCAGCTTCCTGCCCCAGGGTCTGACTTTCAAATTGGAGGTGGCATTTGAGGCATAAAAGCTCTCTCCAGAACACCATTAAATGAGTTTCTCAAGACAAGCCTTACGTTTAAGTATGACCATGAGAGGCAGAGGAAAATTGAAGATGCCCAGTGGTCTGCACCTGTGAGTTGGTAACTAATAAGCTTTTCCTATCATTTAGTGAAGGTGCAGATATCTAATTCTAAAAAGAACGAGCAGTCAAACTAAAGAAAGCTGTAGACAGGAGCTAGTGAACTGTGGTTCATCTTCCCTCCTTGTTACTGGGCAGGCTGTGTTCTGTAGCCTGGGTTCAAACCGAACATAGTCTGATTGGTTTTAAGAAACACTGTTAGGTAAACACCATGCCTGCATTTACTTATTGAACTGAAAATAACCAGTAAACTTACTACACTGAAATAAAACTATTCAGTAGAGTGTGGTTTTGAAGGGTATTTTAAGAACAGACAAAATCCACTTACATGCTAGGCTATAAAGTGTTAGCTGTTACTTAGCACCCAATAAACTCAAAGGAATCTCTCCATACCCACTGGAAAAAAAAAAGTTAGACCTCAGAAGACTTATAAATTTAGGGCTTTAACCTCGGTTACCAAAGAAAATTCCTGTCAACAAACCAGTCAAAACTTGAATAATATAGTTAAATAAATTTGATAAAATGAAAGAAGTATGAACTAAACTTTTGCATTTGGTTGATAAAAATCTTTCCATTGTGAAAGGTATAGAAGCTTTTGGTTCAGTTTTTAACCTAAATGTATTAGAATACAATGTTAAAATCATCTGAATAAGTAATATTTCTATTTGCAAAAACATAAAGTACTCCTTTGCAACATCCTAAGGTAATAGAAAAATCACTGCATAGAGCCTATTAATCTTTTTCACACTTACTAAAACGAGGCTGTTCTATTTAATTATAATGGGTTCAGTAATAAGTTAGGTCAAGTAACTTTTCACATTCTGTTGAAATGAATTATATGATGGAAATTCTGTTGTGGCACAGGTGCAGAGACTGTATCGGTAAGGTCTGAATGGAGACACATGGAGCTGGGCCCTATAGCATTGCCAGAAGTAGCTATTCAGAAGCAGATTATGGAATCTGAAATATAATCTCTGCTTGACAGAGTTGATGTGTAGCCTTTCCAGGGATGAAGCTGCCTACTGGTTCTTCCATCTGTCAGGATTTTCTGGGCTTTGGGAAAGCCATGCATATGTTTGAAAACCTGACTGCACAGAGGAAACCTTTCTTTGTGGCTACATAATAGATCCCTTTTAGGAGTTGTAGGTACTCAGGAGCTGCTGGCAGACCACCAAATGAAGGAGTAAATGGATGTAATGGAAAGTTATTTACAGAAATTAAAAACTCCATTTTGTTGTGATGCTTGAAACTTGCTTGCATGAGGGAAAATAATAGTGGAAAGCATTAAGACTTGAGGAAGGTAGTAGGGCTGAATGGAAGCTTAGATTTTTGTTGCTGTTTTCCTTTAGGACTGTTTTTTGCTTTTTCTTTGAGGGTGTTATTTGGTATGTAAATTCTGCATGGTCAATGTA